AACACAATGCCTTTCATCAGCTGGTGTGTGTTTCCAACCCTCGCCCTATTTTAAATAAATATTAATAAAAAAAATTTTATATCGAGATATTTAAATAAAAAAATAAAATTAATTTAATTACTTGAAAAACATGGCCCAAATGACCATCACAAGCAGCACAAGTAATTTCAACTCTCTTCATTCCATGAGTTGTATCTTCATGACGATTAATTGCACCTTCAAAATTTCACGCAAAAATTAGGCACATATTTATAGAATAATTTATTAGTAATAAAGTATAATAAGATTAATGATTAATCATACCAGGAATAGCATCAAAGAACGCAGGCCAACCACATCCAGAATCAAATTTTGTGTCAGAAGTATAAAGCGGTGTATTACAGCCCGCACAACAATATACTCCTAATAAATATGTAAAGTACAATTGCATCAGAGTAATTTCAAAAAATTAATCCGCATTTGTAGAAATTACCTTTTCCTTTAAACTTATTATACTCTCCAGTATTTGGCATTTCAGTTCCCTTTTGTCTTAAAACTCTAAACTGTTCAGGAGATAGGACCGCTTGCCATTCATCCTCTGGGCGTTTTTTGGACATTTGTTTAATATTTGTTGATGTGAAGTATTTTAATGATAAATTCCTTTTAAAAGATGAGAAAAGATAGTTCTTATGACTAATGATGAAAAATAAATAAAATTTTGTTAGTTTTTATAAACTAGATTAGAAAAATGAAAATTAGGAATAAAAATCAATAAAAGTTTCGGTCTTAATTAACTCACCAAAATGCAATTTTACATATGTGCGTGCGAATCATTTATTTTTTTATTATTGATTAATGCGAATTTTAATTTGGTACTTACGTACGATCTAGGAACACAAATGTTTATATATGTTCTTGATAATTTAAACTTTTAAAATGATAACTAAATATTAATTGATTGCATATACACATGTTTGCTGTAAATTTTATATTTAATACTCACAACTATATTATATAAAGACGATATTAATTAATGAAGGTTTGATTTTAAAAATGATTAATAATATAAATACACAGTCGAGCCGTCAGGTCTTTATATAGTTGCATTGGATCATCAGAAAATCTCGCTTAAAGTTATCTTGCGTAACATGATATTATTTTAAAATTAAAATTCATCCAAAAATATGATAGTAATTCAATGTATCAGGTATTCAAATTTCAAAAGCGTAATAATAATTCGAAAATTAGGTTGTATTACATTATACGCATTTCCCTTTCATGGTATTAACCTTACGCTTTTATACATTACCGCGGTATTACATGATGTAACAGTAACTTTATACGATATACAGATATAGATTATGGTTATGATCAAGAATGTCAATTTTGTAATGAGTCATGATACGTATCACCTTGCATAATAATATTTTAGTAATTTATACATAAACGTAGCCAAGCGAGTGAATCGTGTTTATGATAGGTTAGTGTTGTTAGTCGAAATACTCTATTTAGTCAGATATTTAGGTTAAATGTCTAAATATGATACTATTTTTGTCAAAGTGTCAAAATTCTAAATTTGACTAAATGTCTAAATACTGAAATAATTGACCAAATAAATATTATATGAATAAATGTCTAAATTAGTGATACAACAAAAAAACCTGTATATCGATATAAATTGATATTGATTACTTAATAACGCTATCAACTATGTATTTACATCAACACATAAAGTAGTCACTAGAGATTGGAACCGTTATTCGTTTAACCGCATTAATCATTTATTTTTATTAAACAATTAAACGAGTTAATAATTTTATAAATGGTTAAAAACTGCCATATTCGTTTAAATAGAACTATGTTCATCCAGCACATATTATGCAATAGCATTTTATATCAGTACTCATTGAATGCGTGCTAGATTGATAACATAATTATCTGCAGAACGATAATTTTTAACGAGGGTCGATGCAAAGCTTGCAGTCAAGATTCGCAATGGACTAAGGCTAGGTTTTATTTTTGGAGCACCTGGTACTTTAGACCCGATAGTCACACATCATATTGATATAAATTAAATGATTAAATGATTAAGTAAACGGTTAAACATTAATCGTGTAACTTATCGTTAAATGACGCGATTAAACGGTTAACAAAATTTTTCGCGGTTCCAATCTCTAGTAGTCACGACGTAACATAACTATATGAGAGTGTTTTTAATAAGAAATAATTCATTTTCATAATTAATTACCTATTTATTTATCCGGAGATTTTGTATCCAAAATTTGAACTTATTTTTTAAAAAAACTGTTATAGCCAAAGAAGAAATTAAAAAAGATGCATTAAATTATCAATGGCTATATCGAAAATTATTCAATACATACTTGATTATATTGATTTATTTTTAGTGACTCATCAAAATTATTGTAGAATGAATAAGTGTATTTCTAAGCATGATATTGAAGCATTAAAAGTTATTAATCAAAGTAAATTTTTTCCATTGCATGAAATTTTTTGAAAGTCTATTTTGTGAAAGCATCAAATTTTTGCAGGGATTACAAGAACCCATGAAACTAATAAACAAGTAAAAGTCGTAGCTAATAAAACTATTATTTAAAATAAAGTCTGCAACTAGAAGAAAACTTACTTAAATAAAATTAATAGTTTAAATTATAAGTTATAATCCAATAAAATTAGTTCTTTCAGTATTAATGTTACAAATGTTAAATTCAGGATTAATGTTACGGGTTAGGATATAGGTCTAACGATCACTCGTTTGTTTATTTACTTTGAACAACAACAAATATGATAATCACTCGTTTGTTTATTTACTTTGAACAACAACAAATATGATAAAGGCAAAACAATATGTTCTTTATTATTTAGAATGTGCCGCTTACAAATTTTGGATAAAAACTTTTGTTTCATTTTCACTTCATACTATACCCCTACATACGTTGCATGATTATCACCATAATAATGACGGCATTATTGATTACATATGATAGCAATAGTTAATTTGACTTTATTATAGTCACTGTTTGCATAATTACTTTACCTCTAATTACCGTCATTCTCGTGACAATTAAACCAAGTCTATCTATTTGTTTAAAAAATGTAAATAGTGAAATTGAATTAAATATAAATGCAAATAGTAAATCTGAAAACAATAAATCAATGAAATGATCTTAAAATTGTACTGTACCTAACTATAATAATATATTATAAAATCTACATTATTGCAACTCACAATTTAAAAAGGAGAAAACTGTTTCGGATAACCAATATAACGAAACTCACATGATATCTTCGTATGCATCAATAATATCACACGCTAGGGACCTTGTGATTCACGATGTTCTAAAGAATACACACGAAGTTTATAGCAACAAATATTCCTTAAGATCACTGTAAATATAAAATACCTACGTCAAGTTTCTCGTAATGTTATTGCTTGTTAAAGATTTTTAAGAAAGTATTTTCCTACATTATTGGTATTTACGATAATGATTGAATAAGTGAATAATTGAATAATCCAAATTAGGCTAAGCCACCCATACGTATGCAAGGTTTGTTTATCTTTTATATCGATAGGCACGTGAACAACACTTGAACAACAACCAACTATAAATATCATGAACATAAAGTTTATCGTTATGTGATTTTAAATTGACTTGCAGATTTGTCAGATTTATGATCAAAAACGGTATTTACTATACTTATTAAATATAAAAAAAAAACACCTGATACAAATAAAAAAAGAAAAAAGATACATATTTCTAAGGAAAAAAAAACCAATCCACTTTCTCAATAATGTCTGACAACATATTCGTAAAATATATAAAAATTGTCAATGAACGTAAAGGTGCTATCGATATTCGTGGACAAGTTTTAATTCAAAATTCTTGTAAAGGAGAAAAAACAGTCACAATAGAGTACAGTACTGATTCATGGGACACTGACTATCGGGTGAATGCAACTTGGTCACGTACCCCCTCTCCTAATCAAGATATTTATGATTTCGAAATTTTATCTATTAAATTCTCAAAATTACCAATATATCTTGAATTTACCGTGTTATGTGATATCGCAGGTTCTATTTTATGGATTAGCGATGGTTATAATTGTTTATATGATAAAGGTTCATCTAAAGAATTCTTTTTCGATTTTACTACCGATGATAATTATTCAAATAATTCAATTGATGAAGAACGTAAAAAATTAGATGAAATACGTAAGCAATTAGAAAATGAACGTAGAAGATTAGATGAAAATGAAGAATTTACACGTAGACAACTGGAAGAAGAACGTAAACAATTGGAAAAAGAACGTAATCAATTAGATGAAAAACGTAAACAATTAGATGAAGAACGTAGGCAATTAGAAAAACAAGTGATGGAAATAAACTACAATGATAATAATACAGATAGCAGTTCTTCTCAATTGTCTAACAGCATATTCGTAAAATCAATAAAGGTTGTCAACGATTCTAATGGTGTTATCGATCTTCAGGGGCAGGTCGTGGTACAAACTTGTGGTTCTGACAAATCTGTAACAATAGAATACACCACTGATTCATGGGTCACGAACAATCGCGTAATTGCAACTTGGTCTCATACTCTTTCTTCTGAACAAGATTCGTATTATTTTATGATCTCTGTTTCTAAAACTTCTAGTTTACCACTATATCTTGAATTTATGGCTCTATGTAATGCCTCTGGTATCGACTTATGGACTAATAGTTATGAATATTTATATGATGCGGGGACTCCTAAAGAACTTTTTTTCAGTGATACTTTTAACGAAAATTATATTGATAGTTTCTTCCTTCAGGATGTATCAGAGGACGAAAAAAAAGAATGTTCAATATGTACTGAAAATGTTGATATTAAAGCCTTTTTGAATGTTACGGATCTATGTAGTCACGATAGTAACATATGTCGTGAGTGTATCGGTGAATATATCAAACATGAACTTGAGGATAAAGGAAATATCAATATTTCATGCCCGTTAGAAGATTGTCATGAGGTTTTACGAGAACAGGATGTGAAAGAATTTACCAATGAAGACGTGTTTGCAAAGTATTATCTATATGGATTGAGTTGTTTAGTTTTTTTTTTTTTGGAAATTAATTAATTTCTTTTCATACTTATTTTTTATTTATTATTGCAGATATGAAATTTTTTTTATTAATATTTATTTAAAATAGGGCGAGGGTTGGAAACACACACCAGCTGATGAAAGGCATTGTGTT